TTTCATTTTCCTTCCTGATTATGGGCTGATGGGCTAAGTAATTAAAAAGAGTAAATGTGCATAATAAAGGAGAGAAAAATAGAGTAAAAAGGTGTACGAGTCATGGTCATCCATCCTCCTCCTATTGTTTTTCTTTTGTATTAAGCCAAAACAATTTTGGCATTTCTTTTTGTAATTAGGTACTATAATAATATATTCAATTACTTTGGATTTACGGATGTCAAGTTGAAAGAAATTATTATGGCTTTCTCTCCTTTTTAGTTTTGTTGATGACATACATTCTCACCCATGATCCATACAATGCTGCTAGCGCTGTCAATACTGATTGTTTTTGTGAAGAATTTTGTCTTTTATATGATTCAAGTTACAAACAACAAACAAGCTAAGATGGGATAGATATTATGTAGGTTTTCTCTGATTTTGCATGAATTTGAAGCTTGGTGCCTGAGGTACTGTTATCTAACGTTGAAGATGTTACCTTTTTCCTGTTTAGAGCAGCAACAAGGATGGATGCTTTTTCTGGACTTATGTTTGTTTGGGATGATGCTCTCTCTTTCAACTGACACACAGACAAAGTAAAGTATACGTTACAAGTCTACATACTAAAAACATTATTTATTTCCCCTTCTTCCCGTTTGGGTGAAGTTAGAGTTTGACGGATTAGTATAACTTACAAATACATTTAAAAGGCATCATTAATACATTACACCCTCACGATAGGAATTAATCAAAGTCACGCAATGCACCAACTTGAGCTGTAAATTCCATTAACTATCTATCTTTTCAACAATTATATATGTCACTCAATTTCAATTGGAATAATAATAATAATAATAATAAGGGAAAATGCATAAGTACCCCCAGCCTATACCCGAAATCCCAGAGACATATCTAACCTTTACTAAGGTCCTATTACCCCTCCGAACTTATTTTATATGTAATATTCTACCCTTTTTTGGCCTACGTGGCACTATCTTGTGGGCCCAGCGCATGTTGACATTTTTTTCAAGGATAGTGCCACGTAGGCCGAAAAGGGGTAGAATATTATAGATAAATTAAGTTCGGGGGGGGGGGGGGGGTAATAGGACTTTAGAAAATGTTAGGTGTGTCTCTGGGATTTCGAGCATAGGCTGGGGGGTACTTATGCATTTTCCCTAATAATAATAATAATAATGATGATCCGATCTTAATTATTACTCTATCTGATACAAGATTATTAGCTGGATGCTTTCTTCTTTTATCGATATCCAAATTAAAACTAAGTGGATTGTTTTTTTCTTCAAAGAACAAGTTCGGGACATGAGTGTGTTCAGATTTTATGAATGGGCTTTGGTAGTAGTAATACTTACATTAAATCCCAATGAGCCCAACCTAAAAACATGTACTCCACAGGTTGCCATGCCATTGGGCTTTACACACATGAATATATATATGCCATCCTCGCAAATGTTACATTTGTGCACTAAATTACTCTTTAATGTTAATATATATATATATATATACCTCAACTTCAGTTTCTCCAAAAATAATATTCTATTATCGAGGATATATATATAGAGAGAGAGATATTTATCACAAATGAATACAAGAGATATTCTTTCAATCTTTTTAACTTGAACAATAAATACAGTTGAATACTCTTCATGTTAAAGACATAAGAAAATCCAAACTTGTGAAATGATATATTCGGACAAGCAAAATCATCCCATTTGGTCAAAATTAATACTAAACAAAAACACCTTTTCATGACAATGACTTCTCAGTTTCTTTAAACATCCAGCTGTTAATTATATCCCTCACAAGTCACAAGTCACAAGTCACAAGTCACAACAATATTGAACCATGTCTCACACCCTACATTTTCCTTTTCCAACAACAATAATTATAATTAACATGCTCATCTATTTATTATTTTCCATTTTATACTGCTATCTTGTTTTCTACCTTCATTTTTTATTTTCATTTGAACTTCAGCAACATATCTTATTACATGACAATGCCATGTTTAAACTCCGTTCTATGCTAGCTCTAAACATTTTTTCAAACTAGATACTAATAAATTTTAAATCGCAACACATATTTTATTAGATCAATCCTTAGGTTTCAAAATATTTTTTTCATACAAAATGATATAGAGCATTAGTGATTCCAAAAATTTTACTAACGAAAATCAAAATGCATATAAGTAAAAATAATAATTTATTTCTCATCTTTAATTTAAAATCATAAGATTTAAAACTTTTTTTTATACTTTTTTAAACTCGATATCAAGACGAAATAAGACAAACAAATTGAGTATTAATGTGAGATCAGTGGCGAAGTCAGGATCTCCATAAAGGGGGTTCGAAGTATAAAGTAGTAATTTTTTTATGTATATGGAATACATGAGATCAAAATTAGATGTAACTTGTTTAAGATACATTGTATCAAAGTGGATTCACATGTATTTGGATACAAAGAAAATCTCGCTCACCTCGTTCACCACTCTCCCATGTACCTAGTATCCCATAAACATGCGAACCACTCCGGATATATACAAATACATGTATCTAATATGTATTTAGCGTGATTCACATGTATTTAAGATACATACAAATCTTGTTCGCCTCTCTCCCTAATTTTCACATTGGGTTTTCGTGTTTAAGGAATTTGAAATTAGTAAACTAGTCAAAAACAATAACATAATTAGTAAAAATATCCATACTTTATAAATATTAGTAAAAATGTCAAAAATGTCATTATTTTAAAAAACTTTATGTATCCTAATTTTCTTCCTACTTTTTCTCCCATTGACACGTTTTCAATTAATTATCTCCTATTTTTTTTTAAAAAAAAACTCTTCTCTCTCATATTTATCTTTTCAGATTCTTAATTCTCTCTCTTATTTTTTTTTTTAAAATTCCCTCTCTCATCTTTATCTTTTCAAATTATCCTCCAACATTCAAGTTGTCCATATATCTCTTTCGTAAATTTTGGTTGTTTTTTTTCATAAATTAAATCAACAACAATCACTTTGATTAAGGTATTAATCTTTATCCTATTTTTAGATTTCTTTTTTGATTTTATTTTTGTTTAAATCTTTAAAGATTGTTGTTTGTAGTTGAAATTTCGGTTAGGGTTCACTCTCCAATGGCTGAATCCAAGAGGCTTACTAGATCCTTGGGTAGATCTTTGCAGGCAAAAGCATTTTCATAAGTAAATTAGATTTGTAAGAAAAAATATTTAACTTGGCAAGCATATAAATATATAAATTATGCCATAATGTAACTTATAAACTACATCACATAAAAATAAATTTATATAATAATGTAACTTATAAATCAAACCTGGCATATACAATAATTATTATGATTTAATGAATACACCAAATATGGAGTAATGAATACAAAATAATGAAACAAAAGTGCATGAATACAATGAATACATTTAATATGTATCTTTACTTTAACTTAGAAAAAAATCAAATGGCATTACTATTTGTTAAAAAACAAATACTCCCCATATTTTCTTTGTATTCAAACTAAAAAAAAAATTAAATACCCAAGTCATTAACAAATACAGAATTATAGATGTTAACAGTTTTTTGTATCCAAGTTTAAAATGTATGTATTTACAATAGTCCTTGCATCAAGTAAAAAATAAATATTGAAACATTAAAAATAAATTTGAACAAAACTGTATTATGCATATTTCAATGAAGTCTGCCAACATATATGTATACAAAACAAAATTTGAACCATTAAAAACAAACGGCCAATCAAAAAATCTTCAAACAATCCATTAACATTTTTCGTAATCAACAACCACAAAAAATTAAACAAATCCACCAAAACTATTTTTTCTTACGTTGTTCATAGTACATACAATTTACAATGAAAACAGATAAAGTTTACAATTATTTACAATTTTTCATATGAAAATTTTATAATCACTTAGAAAAAGATTAAGAATGAAGCAATTAATTAATACCTGGTCCAATTTGTATTCAACCAATTTGATTGAACTCCCAGTAAAAAAATCCTTCTCCACAGTTGTTTGTCAATGATTTTGTTGTACTGTTTCGTTAAAATAATTCTCAACAAACAGAAAAAAGAAAAGATTTCAATCAAAATATATTGAGAATCGATAATGATAGAACTCATCAGCTATGGAGAAGACCGATTAATATTTAGTTTTGAAATTTTGTAAGTGCTGAGACTTTTAAGCAATTGTTCCTTTTTAAAAAAATTCTCCTTTTTGTTATCTAACAATTGTATTGTTTCAATTAAAACAAATAATAAAAACTTAAATAAGATACATAATAAATTAAAATTTTGACATTTTTACTAAATATTGAAAGTGTTGACATTGGATCCTATTAAATTTCTCTTATGCACAATTAATTCATTTTCTATAAACACAGTATATTTTTAAGAAAATAGCAATAGAGTATATCTTTGTTGTGTACTACTATAACCAAACCAGACTATTTAAATGTAACAGATTTGTAATTTCTCTGCATGTCCGACTTATTTTTCTGTGTTTAGAAACATAGTCCAGTCCTACTTGGAAAAATACTTACTATTTTCCATCAAGCAAATAAAAACAAAGATTGTGCCTTTTATATCACTTAATAGCTATGTATACTCTTTGATGTTAATAATGAATTTTTACCAGCATATTTGATTTTCTAATGGCATTTTTAGACGTATCATTTGCCTTCGACACATATTAGTATTTTTTTTGTTCGTATTAATCTACTTGTACTGCCATACATAAAAAATACGGCTACATCGTTTATTCAAATTCTAAAGTAGTGATATTTTGGCGGCAATGAAATGAAAAGAGAAGCGGCAAAACTAAAATAGAGCAAATTTAACGATCCCAGTGAAACTGAATATCCAATAGAATAACAACACGTTGGCGATCCGCGTGAAGCCGGAATGGACTCGCCCATTTCTATATAAACCAATTTTATTTTTCAACAAGAACATCAGTCTCTCATTATTTCGAATTCAAAAATGAGTTCTACAGTTGAAGCAAAGTCCGCTGGTGGTCGAGGAAAGGCCAAAGGTTCAAAAAAATCAGTGTCCAGATCTCAAAAGGCAGGTCTCCAATTCCCTGTTGGCCGTATTGCTAGGTATCTGAAGAAGGGTCGTTATGCTCAGCGTCTTGGCTCTGGTTCACCTATCTATCTCTCTGCGGTTCTTGAATATCTTGCTGCTGAGGTTAGTTTTTGTTAATTAGTACCCTTCTCGTCTCGTGCTTGGCTGATGTTTCGAAATTTCCAGGTTCTAGAGCTTGCTGGGAATGCAGCTAGAGATAATAAGAAGAACAGGATTATTCCAAGGCATATACAATTGGCTGTCAGGAATGATGAGGAACTTAGCAAGCTGTTGGGGTCGGTGACAATTGCTAATGGTGGAGTCCTGCCCAATATTCACTCAAATTTGTTGCCCAAGAAGAATGGCAAGGGGAAAGTGGAATCTGCATCTCAATCTCAAGAGTTTTAAATTAGCAGAGTCAGGAGGAATTGGTTGGATGTGGTGTTGTTTTTTGATATATGTGAATGACATGTTTGCTTCATTTATTGATTTGCTATTCGATCATACATCAACAATGAATTATGACTTGATCTAAAAGACTATTGAAGACACGCACGGCTGAGCATTTTCAATATTATAATTTATAACAAGTCTAAAATTGACATTTAAGATCTAAGTTGTTACCAAATATGAAAAAAATGTAATTCCATATCCCCCTTGCATTTGGTAGTGGTGTATTTTGCCCATTTTTCTTTCTTCTGTGAGTGTCCATTGGAATTTGGAACAACAACAAATACTTCTTATTGCGTATTTTAGGTGTATGGACATTGTTAACTGCAAAGTAGGAAAAGGATTGTCTTTTAGACTGTCTCGTGTTTTTGTTGCCATAGATTAGAGATTATTTGAGGTAAATCATGTCATCCTCTATTACTATTAACCACGCAAATGCACACCACATTTTGTGATTTGTATATATTCATATGTATCTATCTGACACATTAGTTCATAGTAAAGTTAGCAATGAGTTCAACAAATCGACATCCAGAACTCACAAGGCATGCCTCCAATTCCCCGTTTGGGCCCAATGTGTTGGTGCTGGTCCCCTGGTTTATCTCGCTGCTGTAGTAGAATATTGGTAATTCCTGGAGTGATTTAAAAGGTATAATCAAATGGAGGAGTAGTAGTGTTTTTATAGGTTTTGGAAGTTGCAGCAAGACACATACAACTTGCGGTGAGAAATGATGAGGATGGAGGTGTTTTACCCTACATTCACCAGACTTTGTTACCAAACCCAGAGATGACATGGCTTTTTAGTTTTCTTTTTCAAACTTAATTTACGATTACATATTCTAGTGCAAACCTTGTTATTGAATGATAAATGATCAAATTACATCTGTTTTTTCCATTCACCAGTTTGCTTTTTTGCACAAACAAATAGATGTTTAAGAAGAACAATCATGTGTGCATTTATCATTCTCCAATGATAATGCCAGTCGCGACTTGTCAATTAATTATTTTTCCCCAATGTACAATAGAAATGTCTTTTAACCGATTCTACATACAACAACTTCTGGTATTGCATCATAGAGTACTACTGTGAGCGAGCTTCAAAAGACTGCAACTTTTAATTAGAATTATAAATGGTTTCTTCAGCCGAAAATTTATGATAAGACGATAGAATAAAATAATATCCCACCAAATCAAAACTAAAACATCTTTATGAGAGTCATACCGGTAAACAAACGTAACATATGAAGAATTTAACTTCAACCAATTATATTAAAGCAAGTATAATTTAACAAAAGTATCCAAACAACACATTGGTGGTAAATATAACATTAGGAGGATATTTCTGCACTGCAACACATGTAATGTCATCACTGGAACCTTTGTTGATGCAGTAGCTGATGACTGTTGGTCTTCATTAAACGGCAATGCTGCTCAAGAGGCACTAGCCATGGATTCTATAAGGAGCTTGTAACCTTCTGGGACAGCTGACTGTGTAAGCACGCATTCTGCCAATGCAGGAACATCTGCATTAATGTCCAGAAACTTGGCCAGCAACAGTAGCAGATGGAAATCTGAGATTCGCTTCACAAAAGAAAGACTCTTTGTTCGATTGAAATGATCCTTCAATGCATTCATGCTCACTGGAATAATCCTGTTTTCAATGGGAAATGATGAAGAAAGTGGACCCTGCACATGAGATGAGACCAAATAAGAACAAGTGCTCCAAATAAATATCACCAGTATGAAAGCAAACGACACAAGACAAAGGGAGAAAGGGGTCGAAGGAACCTCTTAAGCATCCATCCAACAATTTGTAATGATAGCACGCACATATGTGCCAAAAAAATATCAAAAAGGAAAGGAAAAGAAAAATGATAAAATAACAGGTATCTTCATGAAACTGTCAAGGACATTCAGCAAGGATTGATCTATTCCAAAACCACTAGGCAGGAACCTATTCCTAAGCCTTTTTGCATCTCTTCCAGCTCCAGTTTTACATTAATATATATATATATATATATGTATATATATATCAAAACTGAAAACTTCCACCAAGTCCTAGACTTTGAAAACTGGTAAAGCTGCCCTATTCCAAATCTCGTCGACATTGGATGTCACATACTAGAATTCTCTTTCAAAATTATTTTGGCTTCAAGACAGAAAAGAGAAACAAAAGGACAGCACTACTGCTTCATCCTAACTCAAATTAGGTTGCATATTGTTTCTGTCACTAACTAAATCTTATCATAGTTCATCCATCAATCATATCAGGTGATAAAGCGAAGTGACTATTTTTCTCACTATATCCTAAAAGAAACTGAGGATCACTCAGGCACTCAAACTCCACTGAAGTCAACAATTGATGCAACATTAACAAACACAAACTCCACTGAAGTCAACGATTGATGCAACATTAACAAGAGGCCATCTGAACAAACAGAGGAAGAAATTTGGAATATTTTGAATTACAGTTTGGAATACATCAAATTATGCAAGTGTCGTGTTGGGCACATACTACCACACCTCAAAGCAAGTGTACTACTCCCTCTGTCCCAATTAATGTGGTACCACTTTCCTTTTTAGTCCATCCCAAAAAGAATGTAATATTTCTATAATAATAGAGATAATTTAGACTACAAATTTCAAATGTCTTCCTTTTTTCTTAAAATTCATGTCAAGTTAAACGGTGCAACATAAATTGAGACAGGGTGTATAAGCATATTGTAATCTCTGTCCAAAGTCTTATGGCAAGACACTTGAAGTAGTTTTACGAAGAACCTCTCACTTGAAAATATATCCCAACCGGTTAGAACCACAGTCAATAGCAACAACAGCTAGCACACTGCTGTACTCCATCACCCACGCTATGGGTGACATCAATACCTCAACCAACTTATTTATCACATGATTGACATCAAGCGAGAGGGGATATAATTAGTGAATGAAAACTGAATGAAGAAGAATGTAGAATAACTCCTCAGTGGAAAGATTTGATGCTATTGTTCCGTGGTAATTTTCCAGGTCAATCATGCTCAAGCCTAAACATTGAACAGTCCAATGACCTTAGGGTAAGTTCCCTAATTTCACACTTGAACCTATCCCTAGAAATATTCTTTTGACATTACAAAAATAAGCATAGATAAATGAGTTCATGTCTGCAGAACCATGCTTCATGTGAAGCAAAGAAAGTGGAAAAAAGAAAACAAAGCAGAGTTCTCCCACAGGGGTAACTAATACAGCTAACAGTATGATGACAAGCTGAAAGCAAATAAGAGAAAAATATATGATGAAACATGCTAAATCACCTACTGAGGGGGAAGGCAAACTACATTACCCAAAAATCTTCAAAAGGTTTGCAACTTTAGGAAGTGAACCACCAAAAAGGTTACGAATCAAAAAGGATGAGTTAGATGATCTAAAAGATGAGGAAAGTGATTAGGTCAATTGAGCTTCAGGATCCTTCTGATCTGCCTACTTCTTATGATGTTCTCAAACTACACAAGAAACCATAGAGTATTAGGTTCTATCATCACCGCCTAACAGGTTCTAATTGTAGGATGAAGCATATGGCAACAAATGTCTACTTGGGGGCTTTGACCAACAGCCTATTTGCTAAAACTACCTAAAACATACAGCTACTGAAATTAAGCATGTGTTTTAATGCCGTAGTAAGGTTTCTCTATTCTCAGCAGTTCCAACCAGAGACCATTAAAAAGGCATCTTTTAATCAATACTTAGATGTTTTACCACCAATTCTTACCAATAGTGTAGTATTTCTTCTGTTCAGTTCTTTTTGTCACTGCCTTCATTTTTCTCCTCATAGTATGATTATAAAGTTACTCACTTTATGCAATTTAAGGAAAGCACACAACTGTAATTCATAATTAAATTCAAGTAACTAATGGACACAATATGTAGCACACAAAAAAGATTCAAAGAAAAAGATATGCAATAAATCCAACGCACCTGGTGATCAGCAATCTTGACAACAACCAAGAAGAAGTCGTTATCAACTTCTCTTGTGTCCTTGACTCCTACAACCACATCTTTCTTCATCTTAGAAAGCTTTGGATCAATCTCATCCTTAACATCTGTCTCAAACCACCCTTCCTTGAACAATCTAACACACATATCACTCATCTGAAAAGCCTCAAAATGTACATCGGCAGCGCCATCCTCATTCACCTCGAGCTTCACTATAGCAGTCACCCACTCCTTCAAATCACCCTCCGAATGTAACTCAGCTGCCTGTAAGACTTCTGCAGTTGACATTGTGTAATCCTTCTTATCCTGACTAATTGTCTGAGTAAATATAAACCCTACTTTCCTCATCCCTAATCCAATAGCTATAGCATCCACCAATTTCTCCTCATCAGGATCGCGTAAAAGTAACAAATTTTCCTCGGTCCCTTGCTGGGGCGGCTCATAAATAAAATCGACTTCCACTTTGCCCTCAGGCGATACTGTACCATACATAAAACCACCCCTTTTGACAGCAAAGGCGAGTGATTCATTGACATAATGTTGAAAGGCATTGGCGGCATCACGATCGAAGGAAACCAGCTCGCAGTGAGGGTTCTCTTGTCTTGTAACTCGCATTTGTTTGGCAATTAGGTCGTCCATGGTCATCTTTCTACCGAATGAACCGGCGGGCTGGACGGCCGGACCGGCAATGGTGCGTTCACCCTCGTAAGCGAGATAGAGCATGGAACCGTGAGTAAGGTTCAAAGAGGAGATGGGTGTATGAGGGTTGGCCATATCAGTGAAGCGAGACCAATCATCTGGGGTTTTAGCGAGCAAAAGGTTCTGATTTGCAGATAGGGTTTGAGATTGAACTGGAACTCGAAGTTGGGATTCGATTTGGGACTTGAGTTGGGAAATTGTGGCATGTGGGTTGTCAATTGTGACTCGCTCTAACCCATCTCTGCTTCTGATTCTGATCATCATCTTGGCTGGCGACTGACTTAGATAGAAGAAGAAGAAGAAAAAAAAAAACTTGTTGTTTATCTTTGTACAGCAAGCAAGAGAGATTACTATAATATGGTGATTTTAATAAATATGTAGTGCATCAGCAAGAGGTGAGAATCTGTATGGAAGTTGGACCGACGAAGAAGAAAGGAAGTAGGAACTTAGCTTTGGCTTGTAGAATCGTCCATTAATATATATACTACTCCATATCCATAAACAAAGCATAATTCGTCTCCTATTCTGTTTCGGATTTCTATTTCTATTCGACCCGTCCTCATTAGACTTGGGCTCGGACAAGTTTTGGGCTGGACTTTGTAAATTACTCCTAATTTGATTTGGTTGGAAACATACGAGGAAAAACTACCTAACTAGACATACTTTACTGCCATATATACTTAAGATACCTTAACTTTGCATTCGTCCTATTACCCCCACTAAACAATTTTGAACATATATTATTATATCATTTTTCGATCAGCCCTAGATTTTATGAAGCAAGTGTGTTCACACACCAATCATTACATGACACGTGTTAGTTTAATTAAAAACAAAATTATATTAGTTATTTTAGGTTGCTCACTCTCTTTGAGAGAGTGCACTCTCTCTCTATGTCATGTGACAAAAAATGATGTAATAATATCAGTTCAAGATTGTTTAGTGGGGTAATAGGACACCTGCATAATTAAAGTGTCTTTTTAAAAATTCGGAACAAGTTCATGTGTCGCTTTATGTCTTTTCTTTTAAAAAAATTACACAAAATACCATTTTTAATATTTATACAATATTTAGATACACAAATCTCTTAAATATGATATTGAATAATTATCTTAAAATTTAAACTCCTTAATTAATGGTACATTTGCTTTAAATTCAAATTATTTTCTCATTACCCTAATGTCCACCTCCACCCCGTGTACTTCAAATCCACCCTACCTCTCTCTCTCTTCCTTAACTAAATCCTAATAATCAACATCATACAAACTCATATTCATTATCGGCATGGTCCATACATCTTTTTTACCAATTAGTCATTCACTAGCTTCTTTCAGATGACCAATATTATTCGGAAGAAGTTCAAGGTTTCTTCTACACAACTGTCGTATCAATGAGGTAAATTATTATTATTTTTCATTATTCTCATGCATCTTGGTTTACATTCCATTCATGTACATGAGATAGAGTTTATATTGGTGTAAAATTTGATTTTATAAACTTTTGCAAATTAGATTTTTCTCATTGCAGCGTCTTCATCTGCCAACATCCAAGCTGACAATTTAAGATACAAAGGAAGAAATTGACGAAGAAGATGAAGTGTACAATTACAGAATTATTATGATTTATGATTTCATTATTTTAGGAACACTTGTCAGAGTTGATACACAAGGATCTTGTAAATCTGTTTTGATTTGTTAATTATTCATCAATTAATGAAATAAGTTACACTTCTTTAATTCAAAGTAATAAATCGTGTATCTCGACTTTTAAAATCGATGGATACATGTATCTCACGAAAAATGATACATGTATCTCAAGGCCGAAATATTCAAAAATTTAAGATACAAAATAAGGAGATAATGAAGAAGATGAAGTTTACAATTACATAATTACTATGATTTATAATTTCATTATTTTAGGAAAGCTTATTAAAGTTGATAAGCAAGGATCCTGTAAATCAGTTTTGATTGTTAAGTATTCATTCATTAATCCTTTAATGTTATACCTCTTTAATTTAAAGTTATAAATCATGTATCTCGACTTTTAAAATTGATGGATACATGTATTCCGCGAGTAATGATACATGTATCTCAATTACTCTTCTAATTAAGGAAATCATGATTTAAGTGAAAATTTTATACATGACATATACAAGAATAATATTTTCAAGTTATGACAGTATAATAAAACTTTCAAGTTGTAACAATAAAAAATTTCAGGTTGTAACATTTTATTAAAAAGATAAAGATTTTTAAAAAAATAGTAAAAAGCGTTTTTTTTTAAATCATAAAAAGAAAAAAGCGGATATGTCATTAATTTGAATACATTAAGGATAATTAATAATGCCATAAATTTAAGGGATTCAAAACAAAATAGGAATATTTGTTTTCCTTTTTACTCAATCAGTTAAATTTTTTTTTTTAAAAAAAGAATATTTGTTTTCCTTGTTTAGCTCAAAGTAGTTAAAATTCGTTCAAACATATTTCTTTTCTTTTGTTGGAAGATTTCTCTCTCTTCTCAATATTTTCTGTGTAAACTGTCACTCTGATCTAATTCATATTCATTTTTATTCAATAATCTTTATTTTCTTGTAATGGACGACTTCTTATTAGTATTAATAAAGCATGGTGGTAGATGTGATCCTTCAGGTTAATGTTCTTTGCAATTATTTAGTTGTATTGTAATACAAATCAAACGTTAAAAAAATTTATGAACAGTGATTCTGGAAAAAAAAAACAACCAAATTTTGTTTGTGTATAATAGTTTAATTATGGCGTTTTTGGTATGAATATTCACTTTTGAAATTACATAAAATTTGTTTGAAATTGGTATACATTTTGCTTTGAACATACATTTTTTTTTGTATGTTTCTGGTTAAAAAATTACATAAAATTTATTTGAATTAGGTATATAGGTTATACCATGTTGGTACGATTTTAGAATTATATTTGAATAAATTTCGTATACTATTTGTTTAATAAATGATAATTAATAGTTAGAAGTGGTATTATTTTGGTATTCTAGTGGCATGATTCTGCTGTGAAAAAGTGACGACTTATGACATAAAATAGGTATAGTTTTGGCATGAAACAGGTATGAAAAGTGTGCATAATAATTGTATGAAATTTGTATACTGATTTCAGATTTTTTTTCTTTGGAATTTGTATACTAATACTACCAGACATGTATGACAATTGATAATGTTTTTTGGTACGATTTCTGATTTGATTGAGTTTTTTTTTGGCATTATATTGTAATGAATTTTGAGAATAATAATGTAATAAATTTGGTATACTGTTTATTAAAGATTATGACAATTAATATTTCTAAGTTGGAATTATTTTGGTATTCTAGTGGCATGATCTTGGTATGAATAATTGATAACTTTTGACATGAAATAGGTAAGAAATGTGTGAATAAGAATTGTATGAAATTTGTATACTGATATAACATATGTGTTTTTACTTTTGTATTCTATAATAACATATGAAATTGTTTAAAAATAACATATGTATTTTTACTTTTGTATGAATTTTGTATGCATAAAAATGGTATGAAATTTGTATACTGATATAACATATGTATAAAAGTTATTTGTACTTTTGTATGATTTAATACTGACACAATAATTTATGATGAAAGAGGAAAATATGCAATTCAAAAAGTGTCGTAACATAAATTATTGTCACCTAGTTCAAAAAGAACTGTAGGGAGACCACAACTTGAACACGGTAAATAGTTTGCTGATGTGAAATTCAAGAGGTCTAAGATTACGTGCAGTACATGTCATCGGGAAGAACACAACAGGAAGACATGTTCAAATTACCCGTCTGAAAAAAGACATAGTTTATTTTTATTTTGATTTGGTTGTTTTATTATGGCAAACTCATGTTTTGATTTATTTTGTCTTTTAAGTTAATGATTTATAATTTCAGAATATTTATTATGTGTGGTAGTTAATCATTTATGTATTCAGTGTTTTTCAAATGTATACTCAAAAAATAGGTAATGTTGGTATGCGATTGATATCGACTGGAAAAATTAAGTCAAATCTTAGTATGAAATTGGTATACATTTGGTATCCAACTGATGTCCCAGTGGTAAAATTGAAAAAAACTACAACATATAATTCAAATTTCAACGGAAATAGCCAAGGTAAAACTAGATAATATTGTATCCAATTTGTATAAATTTAGTATCGAATTGATATCACATTGAAACATTAAAAAAAATCAACATGTAGTTGAGATTTCAACCAAATTAGACAACCTAAACAAGTTAATGTTGTATTCAATTGGTATCCATTTGTAGGGACGTAAATGGGGAGGGTTAGGGCAGGGGAAGCCTTGACCTATTAACATTTTGACCCGCCCTACTCTGCCAACATCTTTCAAATAGATTGCCCTGCCCCGCCCCGCCCCGCTCCGTTAAGCCCTGCCCTACCCTGCCCCATTTACAACAACAATCGGGACATTATACAGGTACATATATCTATCTAAATTTTACTGCCACATATCTTGAAATTCACTAGAAGAGTACTCATTTTTCAACACTTAAAAAGTACTTCCAGTGCACTATTTACTATTCTATTGTCAAAGAGCTTCCAGATGGCCCTTATGTACATAATAATAGGATTGTGTAGGGAAAGTAGAATATGCAATTCCATTAACATGAAGCAGGCAGATTCTCATCATGTTGAGATGTCATAATTGCCTATTACGAAAACAGGAAAAAGAGGTTAGATTTCCAATATATATTTTTCACAAATACATCAAGTTCTATAATAGTGTAACTGATAAACTTGAAAAAATAGAGTTCCTCAGAACAATGGAATTATAATTTCCAAAATAATGCCTAACGAGAAGAATCACTATTCTAAAGAAATTTGTATTGTCTATGTAATTAGTTGTTTTGCACTAGTAGCAAACAAAGAACATAGATTCCAGCTAGCAAATTATACACATTCAAACAAATGAAAAAGCACTTCAAATCCAACTGATAAATCACAGTTCTATGAGAGAAATAGTACCTGGAAATGAAATTATAACACCAATTGAAGATATGAAGACATCTGAAAGAATAGTCTTAAAAAAAAACCATTCAATCATGATTTGTAGCATCGAAATCGAAACCCAAATGGAGAATGAAGATGAGAATTGAGAGAGATGAAATTTGAGGAAGAGAGCCGCTACTTTCATTCTTTGAAGTAGGGCGTAGGAGATTAAGCGGGTCACTCTTTTTTAATCCGGCCCATTTTTAAATTTGGACTTACCCTGCCCTACCCTAAACCATTAGGATTTATCAAATAAAATATTTTGCCCTGCCCTAACCTAACCTGCCCCCGTTAACATATTTCCCTGCCCTGCCCTTTTAAGAGTGTAACCTGCCCTGCCCTATCCTGCCCCGCCCCAATTGCCATCCCTATCCATT